ATGGCAGACATGGTTTTCATGTTGCTCTTCCTCCACTGCCGGCCCAGGTACTTGGTCTGCACCTTGAGCAGCTTCAGCACGTAGAGCTGCATCATGGCCTGCTTCACCTTCAGGGCCCGCTTCAGGATGGGCGCCGACTTGAACACGACCAGCATCTGCCAGGAACAGCCCCCAGATCCCCACTATGAGGGATTCCTGTACCAACCCCCTCCTCTGTTCCCCCTGCTCGCTCCTCACTCCCCACCAAGAGCTGCATTGTCCCAAGGTATCCCCAGTCCAGGCTGCCAGTGAGGTCCTGGTCCAGGACATTSCCAGCCCAAACATCCCCAGCCCTCACCATGGTGCGGGAATGCTTCCACTTGGTCAGCTTGTTCAGGATGCGCAGGAGGTTGATGCAGGAGAAGAGGTTCCGCCAGCAGAACTGGTTGTTGTCTCCAGCTTCCTGTGGGGAAGGAGATGAAGGGTCAGGAAAAGGATTGGAGCAGGGATGGGGAGAAGCTGTGGTGGTCTGAGGAGCCACGTCCAAAGGGGACAGCACAGCATSTGGGCATGGAATCATCCAGTCATGGAATTGCTAAGATTGGAAAAACTCTCTGGGATCATCGAGTTCAACTGTACCCCCAACAYTGTCCAGGCCACCACTAATCCATGTCCCCAAGTGCCACATCCACAYGTTTTGAACAYTTCCAGGGATGGTGACTCCACCWCTGCCCTGGCCAGTCTGTACCAGTGYMTGACCACCCTTTTCACAAAGAAATTTTCCCCAATATCCAGCCTRGCACAGCTTGAGCCCTTTCCCTCTTGTCCAGTCCCTTGTTCCCTGGGGGGAGAGACCACCCCAGCTGCCCCCTCCTATCAGAGAGTTGTGCAGAGCCATAAGGTCCCCCCTGAGCCTCCTTTGCTCCAGGCTGAGCCCCTCCAGCTCCCTCAGCTGCCCCTGGTGCTCCAGACCCTTCCCCAGCTCTGTTCCCCTCTCTGGACACGCTCCATCCCAGTGGACACCTGCCACCCTCAAAATCCCAGCGGCACCAGGGGCCAAGCACAGGAGAGTTGAGAGTGCCAAGGCTGGGTGCTGAAGCCCTGCTGGCTCCCTGCACCCCAAACTCCCCCRGGAAGCACCCCAGGTGCCAGCACTGTCCCAGCAGGACTCACCAGGCTCTCTGCCGTCAGCTCTGGCAGCTCGTGCACGACACAGTACGGATAGTCCAGGACAGAGATGCTGCAGGGAGGGGTGGTTGTGAGGAAGGAGAGGGGTGGTCGTGCTGCTCCCTCAGATCCCCCTTGGCCTGGGGGCAACACAGCCCCCACTTCCCACCCACCAGAGATGGGCTGTGGTGGGAACTTCCCAGGCATCCCTGAGCCACTGCCAAGGAAACAGGGACCCTTCCCCACATCCCACAGGAACGCAGGTGAGCAGCCTCGTCCCTTACCTGTTCTTGGCAGTGATGTAGGACATGATATTCTGGTTGAAGAACTTGAGGATGAGCGGGATGCAGTTKGCAAAGACCAGGTGCTGGGCCATGTACTCAAACTGGGGAGGAAAAAGGTGGGTGAATGGGGACCCATTCGGGGTTCTGCCMTGCCCAAAGACCCRCAGGGATGGCTGGAGCTCAGCCTGGACCCCGGCTGGACCTCACCTGGTAGATGTGGTTGAGCTTGAAGTGCTTGAGCAGSAGGAGCAGCACGGCAGAGATGGCCTTGACGATGATCTCCTTGTGCCGATTGACATCCACCCCCAGCTTCATGCTCTGCAGCACSGTGGTCCTGGGGGCACAGAGGGATTGTACCAGGAGG